AACTACATACCTTGTTGTTGCTTTTGATCCTTGAAACCTTGCACTACTAGAAAAATACCCTTTAATGACGCGCAAACCATAACACACGCTATTTTACGATAAGCAAAAGTGGTTGCCCTAAAAATAATGTTAGATCTCCCAAAATGTGAAAGATTTAAGATGCGCATTTTTACGTGCCCTAAAATTAGTGTTACAAAAAAACAAAAAAAAAAAAAACCACGGAGGGCACCTATCACAAAATGGGCGTCGTGAAATCATGTCATTTTATATTTTTTTTAATGAAACGCGCACATCTTCATTTTTAGTAGCGGGAAAAGGAATTCCCCAAAAATTAGAAAAGTTGAAAACCCGCCATGTCGATTTAGGTCTGGTTCCGTCTCCATCTCTCGTTCACTTCCATCTCCACTTTATCTTCCATATACAATCTCTCTTCAATTACCCACCTCGCTGGCGATGAAGGTTTCTTGTGATTGTTTGTTGTACTTACAAGCCCTAGGTCCGATTTCAACAAAAATCTATTTGGCGACTCATTGCCTCTCCCTGTAGAGTTCGAAATTGTCACTGGAGGAAGTAAGGGCAGTGCAAGATGATGAAGGGCCTTCAAAGGCGATTTGTTTATTACAGTGTGGTAGCAAAGAGGACGGTGCTACTGATAGCCCTAAACAGTAGTCATCTTCAAAAAAGTTACCAAATCCGACATGCCTCCTTCATCTCTCTCTCTCTCTCTCTCTCTCTCCCTCCCACTGTGTGTGTGTGTGTTAATCGATTGGTACTTTCATCGCCTTTAATAGCTACAAGAACCCTAACCCTCGTCCCATCAAACAAGTCATTGAAGTTGCGTCATATACAAATTAGACATGCCTCATCTGAAGACGCCTATAAGGTGCAAAAAATCTGCTAAAATTGACGGTGATTCAACTACATCTCCTGTTGTTTCTTCCGAATCGATGATCAAGGTGGAAGTCATTTTGGAGAATTCTGTAGTAGGTGATGTTAATAAAGCGATAAATTAGGGCGGTGAACCATACGCAGGTGGAGATAAGGTCACAAAGGATTTACCGCTAGTAAGTGAGGATGTTGGTAAATGGAAGCACGGAGAAAGAGATGGAATCGTTTATCTAGAAAATGATGAATCTGACGAGACCATAGTCTAGAATATAGATGATTTACAGCATGGAAGCGAGAATGTGGATCAAGACTGTCACACCCCAAAACCAAGAATGGCGGAAACATTCTGGGGCGGAGGACGTCATGTAAAGTATCACAACACAGTAAATGTAAATAAGCAAACAACATCATCCATTGCATTAAATATAAAATTTTAATACAAGCGTGTTCCGTACAGTTTTAGACACCAAAAATATAATGTAAATCAAAATAGTATGATGAGTCTTGAATGCGCTCCATCTTCTCAAAAGCTAGCATCGGTACCTGTCTACTGATGACCTGAGAATACAAGTTATTTTGAAAGAGTTTATCAGCATTAAGCTGGTGAATTCATAAGTATTTTAGTGTCGAGGTTTGTTATCAAAACGTTTGAACCTGTCGCAAGTATGAGTTGTAAATGTATGTAAGTGTTTGTAAAAGTTTGAATCTCTCAGAAAAACCTATATTTTCTGTTAAAGTAGCCCTCGACCAAGGCTTAACTGTTTTGTATGCTCGTTTGATGTAAAAGTGTGTAATTTCCCAAGTGTAACTATCATTTAACAAAATATAGTTTGTACATTAAAGTTTAAGTGAGGTTATCACCAAAATGTAATGGGTAAATTACTGTAGTACGGTAGTTTTGTTTTATATGAACTACTGCTGTACTAACTACCTTAAACCGGGTTTATATTAAGGCATCATGTGATAAATTGCACCATACTATCGACTGGTAACATCGACAACGTATAGTCGAAAATAAGGTATGACGTTTGGCACCCGCAGACCTGTTGGCCCCACTGTAGCTAGCAGCGAGGTGTAGGATAGTCAATCCAGTATAGATCTATACGCAAACTCACGCTCTCCCTCCAAGAGACTCTGGCTACAACTCGGGTCATGTCAATTAAGACATGCTCCCATACAGTGGATCACAATTGTTAACGTATTCGTGTTTATGCAATATAATGTTACTTGTTCTAGTATCGTTGTATATGTTCTCTTAGTAATAAGTATTGACTCCTGAATGAACTGACTCGTTGATCTAGAAATTGTAGTAGTATGATCCCGTGTTACCGCGATGGTAACTTACTAACGAGGTGCTGATAAGTATGAATATGGAAGTACTTTTATGTCAATACATGTATATATGATATATATAACTAATATTGAAACGACCCTCGGATGGTCACCCGAAATTCCACCAGACCACATCCAAATCGAGGAAAAGGAAATAGGATAGGTGGCTTTCCTAAGCCCTTTAAACATTATTTATACAGCTATACATATATGGGCATGCAAATTTATAGGTAGTAAAACAAGGTTTACAATAAAGCATTTGATAAGTAAAAGAGTTTGTAAAACATTTTGAAGTAAAACAGTTTGAACGGTGATAAAATCATTGGTTTCCTAGTTATTAATCACATGTGATCGAAGCAATAACTATAAGTGTTTAACTTGTATTCCCCCCCCCCCCCATAAAGTATTTAAAACATTTAAAAGCATTTCAAAGGTTGAATAAAGGGGTATGAACTCACTGGAAGTTTGAAGATAGCGAGATCGAAAACCGGGCAGAGTTTCATCTCGGGAAACGGATTTTTCTCGGGATTCTTGGGAATCTCGGGAGTAAAATCGACCCTCGGGACTTGAGCAAAAAGACCAGAGCTTCGGGTTTGAACGGGCACGGAAATCGAGGCAAGATCGTGAGAGAAAGAGAGAAAATGAACAAATTTTTCGGAAAGGCTCGCATCCCTTTTATAGGGGTGCTGAACCGCCTCCGAACGCGGGGCGTACGGGCGTACGCAGCGCGCACCCGTACGTCATCGCTTACGTATTTCGGATGGAGCGGGTCGGATGGGACGGCGGGTCGGGTAGCTTCGCATAGGGCGACGTGGACGATCCGAGGCCGTGGCCTCGAGTACGCAGGGCGTACGAGGGTACGCGGCGCGTACCTCGGCCCTAGGCTGACTCCTCTTCGGATAATACCGAATTTTTAATAAAAATTATATATAAATTATTTAATAAACTTCAAAAATTCATATCTCCTTCATACGAACTCCGTTTTCGACGTTTTTTATATCCCCGCGAAGGTGAGACTACGATCTACAACTTTCGTTTAGATTCCGTTGGCAAATTCTGAAATTATTTTTATTATTTATTTATTAAAATGACGTGATTAAGGAATTTCTTTAAAAATTCATAACTTCTTTATCTGACGTCGGTTTTTGCCAGATTTTTTACTGTTGAAATACCATTGTCGAGACCTTCAATTCTCGTTTAGGTCATTCCGGCCAAATGTCGCTCGATCTCCATTTCGAGTTTTTAGCTGTCTGTTGCTAAGCTGAACTTGGAAAAATCATAACTTCAATATACGAAGTCGGATTTGGGCGTTCTTTTTACGTACGATCATAGTTTAATGATATTTAAACATAGAAGAATTTAAATAGAAACTTTTTGGACATTTTATTATCAAAGTTAATTTTTTAACTCAAAAATGTTTACAATACTTGACCTATTAGGCTATTACAAAGAGTTGAAATATCGGGTTGTCACAAAGACAAACAAGGATCAGGCATCAATGGTCCCTAATTGGAGATAGTTGCAAGTAAGAAATTTTTTCACCATGAACATAAATTTTCATTTAACACTTGATTGCTCTTGAAGATGAGGTGTTTTATGGTTAAACTCATACATCAATGATAAAAAGATTGAATTTAACCAATTGGACATGAATTTGGATGATCATGCGAAGGATAAGCTCGAGAAATCCATGGTTTCCAATAATGAATCTGGTAAGAGTATAGAAAGTGAAGTCTGAACAAGCTCCGACATGTTTCTCAACAAAGCTCAGGTAAACCGATTCATCTGTGATTCTGTTCATAATCAAACCTAAACATATGTAACATCAATGAAGAATTTTGAACAATATATGTAATGTTTGATCTTTGATTTGAAGGATAAAGTTGTTGCTGGAATTGAATCAAGGATTTCTGCTTCGACATTTCTGCCTATTGAAAATGGAGAAGCTATGCAAATATTTCATTATGAAAATGGTCAAACCTATGAACCACATTGGGATTATTTATGCTAGGTAACATTTATTCCATTTATTCATATCAAGATTGTTTGACTTTGTTCTTGATATAATAAATTAGTCTTGTTAAATCTGATTATATACTATACAATCTATTTCTTTTAATTTATAACATGATTGTTTTTGATGGAGTGGCTTGTAAGTTGGAAGTATGTAATTGATAATAGCTGTCTCATGGTTTCTCTTTATTCAAAATGCATACCAAGTGTTTGATAGATTGCCTCAATTAAACCAATCAACAAAAAAAGAACTGTTTATACCTAATAGATTTGGGACCGTCTCCTTCGTCTCCCTTTCATTCTTTGTTTTTAACTTTTTTTGGTTCTTGTTTCATTTTTAATTGAATATTATCAATTTCTTCTTACTGATATGGTTTATGAAATATGAAGCACGAAATTTGGGCTACCTTGATCTGGTCGAATTGATGAACTGTTTTCCTATGATCAGAATATTAGAACCCTAATTCCAGAAGAATCTGATTGGTTTTCTAATATTTCATATATCTTTTTTGATGTTTTTAATTATTTGTTTCTATGACAACAACATATGAAATGGGATTCATATCTGAAGATGGTGAACCACAAATACAAACAGATGAAATGGGGCCTAACGGTGCGCTTATTTTACTTTCATATTAACCTTCTTCCTATCTATCTTCCCGTAAATACAAAATTAATCCCACTGTTGAATTAGTGAATTAGGGGCTAGGGTTTGGAGTGATTTGGGGAAGAGATGGGATTGGGTAGGATGAGAAGAAAAGGGAAAAATGTGGAAGAAGGAATCAACTGAAGAAAATTGGGAGATCGAGAAACGGAGGAGCAAGGAGAACATGATCGGCGACGTTGCCGCTAATTCACCGTCCAATACAGCAGACGAGACAGCGGAGAATCAACAGCAAGAAAAGCAATGGCATTCCTACATTTATGAGGATCTACCTCGTACGGTTCAGGAATCTGCCGATTCCGCCGTTCGCTCCGCCCGGTCGCTGCAGCAGAATTCGTCCACTCATATTCGAACTCTTAAGGTACTCTATCAATATCTATGTCTCATGTTCGGGTGCGTTTTATTTCTTGTGCAGCTTTCCTTATAGTTAGGGATTCCGTATATACGATGAATGTTTATCTGCATGCGTTCTATGATGGATTTTATTAAGGACTAGTATGATAATTTAAATTTGGTATTTTGATATATAGTCTAGCTATTCGTATGTGTTAATGTGTATCTGTATCTCTTTGCATGCTATTTCAGGTGGCTTTTTCATCTATGGGATGATTGCTTGTCATTGAGATTCTATTGTTTTTAGTATGAAACTTAGCTTAATGTAATCACATACCTCCGTTATATGTAAATAAGAGATAGATTGATACATAAATGATCAAACGTTATTCAAGTTTTTGTATACATGCTTATATTTCGGGTACATTAAGAAGATGGTGCACATTATAAGCTCTTGTCAGCATAGTACTTAAATACTCAACTAGATTATCAGAATTGTCCCCCTAGAATATAAATTTAACAAAAGACACTGACAATTCTTCTCAAGAATATAACTTTTATGCAGCATAAGTTGGAGCCAAATTAGTTATTTCTCCTTCATTTATGCAATCTGATTGTTAACTTTATTACCCTTCTAGTTTGTTCTGTGTGATTATCAGTTCAAATCGCACCTCAATTTCTTATAAGACACTGATAAGTCTTACTTTTCATGTTCATTTCGAGGATCATGTAGTTCAATACACAGCACAGTATAGGAGTTATGAAGATTTGGTGTTCAGTAAGATCAAAGGCGAATTTTTCTTTTTTACAACTACCAAACATTTATTTCCTGATAAAAAATCAACAGTGATGCCATATTTTAGAGGCTTGATAAGTTGATATTTCTTGGATTAGTTTTCTCTCATAATTTTGTGTCTTAACAGATCAACTCACAATTGTAAGAGAACACCCAACTTTATCTGCTGGAATTGCAATTATACCTGCTCTTCTCCTCATGAGAGGTAAAGAAAGTATTCCACTTTACATATTTAGATCAACAATATATAACTACATGCTTTACATTTGTCGTATGCACTTATGATTTTTTATTTGTAACCTGTTGGCTTGAATGAACTTATTGGCTTGCTATGAACGAGGTAATATTGTGTCTGTGGATCCCAACATCAACATTGTTGTTCATTAGGATATAGTTGGTCTTTATGCAATGCTTGGATCTTGATATGGGGAGTATATCCACCTAACAGTCAGCATTTTTTAGTTCAAACATTATTTATTTCCAAAATGTGACATTAACATAACAAACTGTTGTATTTGCATTTGTTTATGGAGGCACCACCATTGTTAGAGAAAGCTAAATGAACATTGTGTTTGGAATTTCAAGTGGGCATCATGTATATGAGTCACTTGCTCAAGTCAATAAGTGTTTTATTTAATCTATTATATGTTTATAACTAATTAATTATTATGAATATATAGCTTGACATGTATTATAACATTATATGATTAAAGTACATCACTTCTTGCAGAACCTTCTACTGGAATCAATTCCGTGAAGCCAAAAGTAAAGGGAGTATCAATGATAGAGTTGTTTACATTAGAGCAGGTTCGTGAACATATAACAGGTCTCGGGCAGTGGGTTGGCCAGGTCAGAATCTGCATTTTACTTTATGGAGGTGTGTTTTGTTTTGTGTTTGTTTTTGAATATCTCATTTTATACATAGCAAAGAAAAAGTAGAAAAGAATCAAGCTCTGGAACACTCAATGAGTGAGAACTCGTGTCAACTATGTGCAATTGAAAAGCTGAGTTTTGAACCCCCGCCTATACTTGTCCAAATTGTTATATGGAAGAAGTTGAAAGAGGAGAGCGGATGCCTCTACCATAGAGTGCTGTACTTGGAGCAAAAGATTTACCTCGAACCATACTCAGTGATCACATAGAGAGCAGGTTGTTTGGAAAACTGAAGCAGGAGAGACTAGAGAGCGCAAGGTTCTATGGGAAAACTTATGATGAGGTGATGTTATAATCCCCCCCCCCCAAAAAAAAAAAAGACAACTCCATACCATACATTGTGAATGAACAATAAAGTATGTATCTTACATTTTCTTTATTATCAGGTTCCTGGAGCAGAGGCCTTGTTGTTAGAGTGGTCTCTTCTGTGGACAAGAAGTTGGAAGTCAAGCAACAATTTCTTGAGATCTTTCAAGAGCAAAATTACCTTGTGGAGTTTGGGTATAAGTCTAAGGTATTTCAACCGTACTACTTTCGTTGATTTGATTATTATAGCATCTTTCCCTACATTTCTTCCTATACAATATATTATACTCTAAAAAATCTACCCAGTTATATGCGCTGGCACTATCTTGTGTGTAACTCCTGAATTTCTAGGTATATTAAGTTATTTATTTATTTTGGAATTTGTGGAGGAACTCGGCAAGTTGGAGCCAAGACTCGCCGAGTAGAGTCGCGGATGTTCATCCGGGTTCGCGTCCAGACTCGGCGAGTCCATTAGTGGACTCGGCGAGTCCACACTGTTTAATGAAACCCTAATTCCCCGGGTTTGGAGCCTATTTAAGGGCACTTATAGCCTCCCATTGCGGCTACCAGTCCCTTGAAAGAACCCTAAGAGAGCTAGATCGCTGTGAGAGAGAAGAAGTCACTTTTTGATCCTTGTATCCTTGGTTTAGCAAGAAGAAGGTAACAAGAGCGAGGAGGAGGTGCGATTCAAGCAGATCCAGAGTTCAGAGACTTCATTTTGAGGTAATAGTTTGAACCTCCTTCAATTTATTGTTTATCTTCAGAGTTAGGGTTTTCAAACCCCTTTGGGAGTGATTATGTGGAGAAAATGGTCCCTCTTCGAGTTTGTGCCTTGGATCTGGACTCAAAGAGGTCCAGAGACCTTAACCCTTGGAGATTTATGGGTTAGTTTGGGGTTATTGGACTTAGGTTGCCATTTTTGGGACCAAATCTCCTTTTGATGCCTTGCTGTGGTTATACAAGCATCAAGTTTCGAACTTTACGTGACATTCATGCTTGGGGAGGCCAGATCTATGGTTTGGGGAAACAGATTTGACCTCAGGAGGTCAATAGAGTTTGTGCATGGCATGAACTCGCCGAGTTGTTATTGAGACTCAGCGAGCAGGGTTAGGGTTTCACGTAAATTGTTCAGCGAGTAGACTCGCCGGGTTGGGGGATGACTCAGTGAGTTAGGAGGGAGTTAGAGGACTGGAGTTCAAGACGGTACTCGTCGAGTTGTTCTTGAGACTCGACGAGTTGTGTCTGGGTGGCCCTGCGATTCATGGCTGGTATGGCTCGTCGAGTATAGGGAGGGACTCGGTTTGTCAAGCGGGACAAAGGGTTAAAGGACATATGAGAACTCGTCGAGTCACCAGGGTGCACTCGACGAGTAGGGTCAAGGTGGGACCGTTGACTTTTGTTGACTTTTAGGGTTTGGTTGTGAATAGAGTCCTTGTGAAAAGAGGGGAGGGTAAAATAGTCTTTTAACTTTTTGAGGGTGCCAATGGCAGGTTGAGTCTAGTCTCGAGAGTTATATTTATGAGACTATTTATTTTGTGAATAGGCAGAGGCTAGGCAATATTTTCCATCGAGTTAGATATTTATCGAGACGCCTGAGGTGAGTCTTCTCATTATACTTTACCTAGTGTGGTAACAAAGTCATGTGACAGAGTACTATAGAGATATATGCCAGTGTATTTGCATGTTGTGTATGTGTTGTGATTTATTGTGATATGTGTTATGCATGATTTAGAGTTACAAGGTTGGGACTTTCGGGTCCCTAGAGTTAGGGCCAGAGGGCCCACAGAGAGTTGGGGCTGGAGGGCCCCACTGAGACACATTGACCAGAGGGTCAACAGAGTTATAGCCTCGAGTGGCTATTATGTGTTAGAGTGGTATTTTGGGGAACTCACTAAGCTTATGCTTACAGTGTTACGTGTTATCTGTTTCAGGTACCAATGATGATCGCGGGAAGGCGCCGGCTTGATTCGTACACACACTCATGGCATTTTATTTATTTGATCTTGGGAGATATTTGTGTAACAAAAGACATGATACCTTGACATTTTATGAATGAATGAATTTGTGAATATGTGTTTGAAAATGGGAAAAATTGTTTTAAACTTTTATACGGTCTTACAATTTGGTATCAGAGCCTTGGTTTGAGGGATTCGGGTGCACCTGCGGGCGTATCTGAACTCAAACTGAGGATTTGAGGAAATTTTTATAATAAAACAAGTTTTCAAAAGAAGAACTTACGAGACAAACAGAGCAGAGTCGTGTGTACGAACAGCCAACGCCCGAACAATGATTTCCCAAAATACTATTACTATAAGTGTTATAAAATATGATATGACATGTTATATGATGAGCTATCCTATGCATGCTAGAGTAGACTAGGTATTCTTATTAGGACAAGAGTGGCCTGATATGTGATGCCTGAGTCTAGGAGTCTTGCTGCTAGGAATACTTCAGAGTGTTTAGGTAGCAGCGAGGAGGTTGTGAGAGATCTGCTTGCTAGTATCATATGATTAGAGAGAGTAGAGTGCTTGGTAATTGGGACTCTGGGTGGAGGACATGGGGTGAATGTTGATGCGGTGTGGACGGTAGTATTGGGCCTGTCCTACTGAAGACACCGAGTTAGTGCTCAGTTCAAGTAAGAATCTTCAGAGTACCAAGGGTCAAGTAGGGTGGAGTAAGTGACTGTGAGCATACTCGAGTGAGTCTCTAATATTTATTCTTGTGTTGTATTTCAGAGAGAGAGAGAGATATCATGGTTGGGACTCGCCACACACTAGGGACCAGCGATACGAGGGATGTGGAGATCCGTAGGATCATCCAGGAGGAGGTGGTTGCGGCCATCAGGGCAGAGATACTAGAGATGTTCGGGTCTATCAAGACCACATTGATAGAGACATTTGATGAGAAGTACGCCGCTCTTTCTGAGGATGTTGTTGTTGCGGCCACTGCAGCTATAGCTGCGATGAGGCCGCAGGGTGGTGATGCGTTGATGTTCCGAGAGTTCAGCAACACAAAACCACCAGAGTTTGATGGGACCCAGGACCCGATTGCGGCGATGAGATGGATTTCAGACATAGAGGGCTGTTTCTTTACTCACTCATCTCCTGAGCATTTGAGAGTCCGGTTCGCACTGAACCAGCTTCGCTTGGGAGCGAAAGACTGGTGGAAGTTTGTGACAGCGCACTATACGCCTGTTGAGCTTGCGGCCGTGACCTAAGAGAGGTTCACTGCCATGTTCCAAGATGAGTACGTTCCCCAGGTGGAGAGGGAGCGTTTGGGACAGGAGTTTTTGACCCTCAAGCAGGGTACTGAGTCTGATACGGTGATTACGAGGATGTTTCATGAGCGAGCGATGTTCTGCCCAGAGAACGTGTCCTCCGAGCAGGCACGTATGAGTCGATATTTGAGCATTTTGAGGAGGGATATACATGAGTTCGTGGCGAACTCGACGTACCGGACATTTTCCGAGCTTCAGGCGAATGCCCGAAAGAGGGAGATAGAGCTGGAGACTCGGTCTAGGGAGGAGGCTGAGTCTCAGGGGAGGGATCGGCGACCGGTGCAGTCTCAGCCAGTAGCCAAGCGGGCCAAGCCCGCCGATTCGAGATCAGGGAGCCAGAGGGGACGCACTTGTGGAAACTTCAGCAAGAGCCACGACGGGGTGTGCAGAGCAGGGTCTTGCTACAAATGTGGCAAGGAGGGGCATATGGCCAAGGACTGCCCCCAAGGGGTTTGCAGTATGTATTCACTGCAACCAGACCGGACACCGGAAGGTAGAGTGTCCGCAGTTGCGAGGATCAGCACAGGGAGCACCTCAGGGATCTGCCCCTGCTGCCGTCAGAGCTACCATGAGTCGGCCGGTGAAGGCCAAGGCACCGAGGGTACGAGGGAGAGCCTTCCAGTTGACCGCGGAGGAGGTCCGCGGAGTGCCCGATGTCGTGGCTGGTATGTATTCTTTCATAGATTTATTTTGATGTTGAGATTTTGTGCTTATATTATGTTATGCGTAGGTACTTTTCTGGTGAGATCTGTACCTGCCTTGGTGTTATTTGACTCGGGTGCGAGTCGGTCTTTTGTATCTTTGGCTTTTAGTCAGCATATCAGTGTTAGTCGTGAGGCGTTGAGTCGACCTCTGAGGGTTTCCATAGCTGATGAGAGGGTGATATATGCCACAGAGGTGATCCGTGGGTGCATGTTTGAGATTTTCGGTGTTGAGTTCCCGATTGATTTGATTCCTATAGCGATGGGTGATGTCTGTGTAATTGTGGGCATGGACTGGTTGAGCAGATTCGGAGCGGTTATCGACTGCGAGCGACAGCTGGTGACCATACGAGACCCTAGAGGGGGAGTTCTTATGGTGTACGGTGAGGGTACACGTTCTGGGTCATCATTTTGTTCGGCCGCTAGAGTGAGGCAGTGTCTACAGCAGGGCTGTAAGGGCTTTGTGGCGTATGTGATGGATATGCGGGTTGATTCAGAGAGACCGAGGTCAGGTGAGGAGGTCCCGATAGTGCGTGAGTTCCCGGACGTATTTCCAGAGGAGTTGCCGGGTGTGCCTCCCGTGAGGCAAGTGGAGTTCAGTATCGATTTGGTTCCGGGAGTCGCGCCTATCGCCAAGGTGCCCTATCGCCTTGCACCTCCAGAGATGCAAGAGTTATCCTCGCAGCTTCAGGAGCTGCCGGGAAAGGGGTTTATTCGGCCGAGCAGCTCGCCATGGGGAGCGCCTATCCTTTTTGTCAAGAAAAAGGATGGTTCACACCGGATGTACATTGATTACGGGGAGTTGAACAAGCTGACGGTCAAGAACCGTTACCCGTTACCGAGGATCGACGATTTGTTCGATCAGTTGCAGGGAGCATCTTGGTTCTCCAAGATCGATTTGAGGTCTGGATATCATCAGGTAAGGCTGTGAGATGAGGACATCTAGAAGACAGCGTTCAGGACGCGTTATGGGCATTACGAGTTTGTGGTGATGCCTTTCGGGCTCACCAATGCCCCAGCAGTGTTGATGGACCTCATGAACAGAGTGTGCAGGCCGATGTTGTATCGGTCGGTGATTGTATTCATCGACGACATTTTGGTGTATTCGAGATCTAGAGAGCAGCATGAGGAGCATTTGAGGGACATCCTCGGAGTTCTGAGATCGGAGAGGCTTTATGCCAAGTTCTCCAAGTGTGATTTCTGGTTGCGAGAGGTCCAGTTCCTAGGGCACCTCGTTAACCAGAAAGGGATATTGGTCGACCCGGCCAAAGTTAAGGCAGTGATGAGTTGGGAGGTGCCAAGATCACCCTACGAGATCAGGAGTTTCTTAGGGTTGACAGGCTATTATCGGAGATTTATCAAGGATTTCTCCAAGATCGCAGTGCCACTCACCAGGTTGACCCGGAAGGGTGTCACTTTTTCATGGAGCACCGAGTAGCAGGCCTCCTTTGAGACACTTTGCCAAAGGTTATGCGAAGCCCCGGTGTTAGCCCTCCCGGAGGGAATGGAGGACTTTGTGGTGCATTATGATGCGTCGATCTTGGGGTTGGGAGCGGTGCTGATGCAGAGAGAGCATGTGATAGCATACGCATTGAGGCAGTTGAAGCCTCATGAGAAGAGGTATCCCACCCACGATCTAGAGTTGGGGGCAGTGGTGTTCGCCCACAAGATTTGGCGTCACTATCTGTATGGGGTTCGGTGTACGATATACACAGACCATAAGAGCCTGAAGTATTTGATGGATTAGCCTAACCTAAATATGCATCAGAGGAGGTGGTTAGACGTGGTCAAGGATTATGATTGTGAGATCCTGTACCACCCGGGCAAAGCTAATGTTGTAGCCGATGCACTGAGCCGTAGGGCGGAGAGCGCCTCACTGCGAGATGTATGTTTGCGATTGACCGTGATGGCTCCGGTGTTGGACACCATTCGTGGGGCACAGGCTGAGGCCGTGAGATCAGAGTACCAAAAGAGGGAGTGAGTTGTCGGGATGGTATCGGAGTTCGTTACCGATAGTCGGGGGCTTATGACATTTCAGGGTCGTATTTGGGTACCGTTTGTGGGCGGGACGCGTACCATTTTGATGGAAGAGGCTCATCGATCGAAGTTCTCGATCCATCCTGGGGCCACTAAGATGTATTTAGATCTGAAGAGAGAGTATTGGTGGCCTTGTATGAAGAGGGATGCCGTGTGGTTTGTTGAGAGGTCCTTGACCTGTCGTAGGGTTAACGCCTAGCACCAGAGACCGCATGGTAAGTTGCAGCCGTTGGAGGTTCCCGAATGGAAGTGGGAACAGATTACCATGGATTTTATCACTAAATTGCCAAGGACTACTAGGGGAGTCGATGCAATTTGGGTGATTGTGGACAGGTTGACAAAGAGCGCCCACTTCCTTGCTATCAGCGAGAGCTCTTCCGCAGAGAAGTTGACTGAGATGTACGTGAGGGAGGTGGTATCACGGCATGGGGTGCCGATCTCGATTGTCTCAGACCGAGATGTGCGTTTCACTTCCAGATTCTGGAAGAAATTTCATGAGGAATTGGGTACTAGGCTTCATTTTAGTACCGCATACCACCCCCAGACTGACGGACAGAGCGAGCTGACGATTCAGACGCTCGAGGATATGCTCGGGGCATGTGTGTTGGATTTCGGTGGGAGTTGGGACACGTATTTTCCCTTTGGCAGAGTTTGCTTACAGCAACAGCCATCATTCGAGCATTGGTATGCCACCCTTTGAGCTGTTGTATGGGAGAAGGTGTCGGACCCCCATTTGCTGGGGAGAGGTCGGGCAGCGTGTTATGGGTAGTACCGAGATCGTGCTTTAGACGACTGAGCAGATACAGCAGGTCAGGCAGAGGTTATTGACCGCTTAGAGTCGTCAGAAGAGTTATGCAGACAAGCGCCGGTCCGAGCTCGAGTTCCAGGTCGGCGACTTTGAACTCCTGAAGGTCTCTCCTTGGAAAGGAGTGATCCGATTTAGGAAGAGGGGCAAGTTGGGGCCCCGATATATTGGTCCTTTTCAGGTTATCACTAGGGTAGGCAGGGTAGCCTACCGGTTGGAGCTACCTGCAGTGTTGGGACAGATCCATGACACTTTCCACGTGTCGCAGTTGCGAAAGTATATAGTCGATGAGTCGGCAGTGGTACCATTGGAGGATATTCAGGTGGATGCGAGCCTGAATTATGCTGAGAGACCGGTAGCAATCAGAGATCAGAAGATCAAGGTTCTGAGGAACAAAGAGGTGCCTCTGGTGCAGGTCCAGTGGCAATACCAGAAAGGGTCAGAGCTTACTTGGGAGTCGGAGCGCGAGATGTGTGAGCAGCATCCAGAGTTGTTTTCATATTGAGACTTCGAGGGAGAAGTCTGATTCTAGTGGGGGAGAAATGTAACATCCTGAATTTCCAGGTATATTAAGTTATTTATTTATTTTGGAATTTGTGGAGGAACTCGGCGAGTTGGAGCCAAGACTCGCCGAGTAGAGTCGCGGATGTTCATCCGGGTTCGCGTCCGGACTCGGCAAGTCCACGCTGTTTAATGAAACCATAATTCCCCGGGTTTGGAGCCTATTTAAGGGCACTTATAGCCTCCCATTGCGGCTACCAGTCCCTTGAGAGAACCCTAAGAGAGCCAAATTGCTGTGAGAGATAAGAAGTCACTTTTTGATCCTTGTATCCTTGGTTTAGCAAGAAAAAGGTGACAAGAGCGAGGAGGAGGTGCGATTCAAGCAGATCCAGAGTTCAGAGACTTCATTTTGAGGTAATAGTTCGAACCTCCTTCAGTTTATTGTTTATCTTTAGAGTTAGGGTTTTCAAACCCCTTTGGGAGTGATTATGTGTAGCAAATGGTCCCTCTTCGAGTTTGTGCCTTGGATCTGGACTCAAAGAGGTCCAGAGACCTTAACCCTTGGAGCTTTATGGGTTAGTTTGGGGTTATTGGACTTAGGTTGCCATTTTTGGGACCAAATCTCCTTTTGATGCTTTGTTGTGGTTATACAAGCATCAAGTTTCGAACTTTACGTGACATTCATGCTTGGGGAGGCCAGATCTATGGTTTGGGGAAACAGATCTGACCTCAGGAGGTCAATAGAGTTTGTGCATGGCATGAACTCGCCGAGTTGTTCTTGAGACTCGGCGAGTAGGGTTAGGGTTTCACGTAAATTATTCAGCGAGTAGACTCGCCGGGTTGGGGGATGACTCAGTGAGTCAGGAGCGAGTTAGAGGACTGGAGTTCAAGACGGTACTCGCCGAATTGTTCTTGAGACTCGGCGAGTTGAGTCTGGGTGGCCTTGCGATTCATGGTTGGTATGCCTCGTCGAGTATAGGGAGGGACTCGGTGTGTCAAGCGGGACAAAGGGTTAAAGGACATATGAGAACTCGCCGAGTCACCAAGGTGCACTCGACGAGTAGGGTCAAGGTGGGGCTGTTGACTTTTGTTGACTTTTAGGGTTTGGTTGTGAATAGAGTCCTTGTGACAAGAGGGGAGGGTAAAATAGTCTTTTAACTTTCTGAGGGTGCCAATGGAAGGTTGAGTCTAGTCTCGAGAGTTATATTTATAAGAGTATTTATTTTGTGAATAGGCGGAGGCTAGGCAATATTTTCCATCGAGTCATAGATTTACCGAGACGCCTGAGGTGAGTCTTCTCATTATACTTTACCTAGTGTGGTAACAAAGTTATGTGACAGAGTACTATAGAGATATATGCCAGTGTATTTGCATGTTGTGTATGTGTTGTGATTTATTGTGATATGTGTTATGCATGATTCAGAGATACAGGGTTGGGACTTTCGGGTCCCTAGAGTTAGGGCCAGAGGGCCCACAGAGAGTTGGGGCTGGAGGGCCCCACTGAGACACATTGACCAGAGGGTCAACAGAGTTACTGCCTCGAGTGGCTATTATGTGTTAGAGTGGTATTTTAGGGAACTCACTAAGCTTATGCTTACAGTGTTACGTGTTATGTGTTTTAGGTACCAGTGATGATCGCGGGAAGGCGCCGGCTTGATTCGTACACACACTCATGGGATTTTATTTATTTGATCTTGGGAGATATTTGTGAAACAAAAGACATGATACCTTGACCTTTTATGAATGAATGAATTTGTGAAAATGTGTTTGAAAATGCGAAAAATTGTTTTAAACTTTTACGGTGTTACATTGTGGTTTTGGTATGTGAATCCCTAAACTAGGCTTTGTTGTTTTAGGTAGTTCTGTTGTTTCAGAAAATTGAAGGTGTAGAAGTGTGTCTTTTTGGTATGTATGTTCAAGAATTTGGAGCAGAGTGTCCACAGCCAAACCATCGACGTGTTTATCTTTCTTAACTGGATTCAGTCAAGTACTTCAGGCCTGAGATTAAGGCTATGACAGGGGAGGCTCTTCGTACATTTGTATATCATGAAATTATGGTAAGTAACTTCTTTGCCGTGTTAGATCTTGCATAGCAGTTGCCTTAATTCTTGTTAGACTGATTAAAAAAAATTACCAATTTTATTTTCCAGCTACTTTCACACAAGGGCATTTTGGTGTTTTCCTGATATCTTTTGTATGTCTATTTCAGCAAGCTAGTATAACAAAATCTTTTGTATGTCTATTTCAGCAAGCTAGATAAGTCCATATGTCACTCAGTTTTGTTCTTTTTTATTTTTAGTATGTGCAACATAGCGAGACATCAATGTCCTTCAAAACTATGGATGATGGCCAAGTCTTACTCTATGTAGTAAGTATTAAAGAAATAGCAATGCACTTTCATTCATTTGTTTCATATTTCTTTCATAGTTCTCTAGAGATATTTTTCCATGTGTCATAGAATGATTGGCTCCTATCTTGTTTTTTGATATTTATACGCATTTTTTAAACATATTTCTTTATTGTATTGCATGTTAAGTTACCGAGTATAAAAAAGCTTGCTGATCATGTAGGTGTTCAAAACAATAGAAAATTTTTAAACATATTTTTTTATTGTATTGCATGTTAAGTTACCGAGTATAAAAAAGCTTGCTGGTCATGTAGGTGTTCAAAACAATAGAAAATTTTTAAACATATTTCTTTATTGTATTGCATGTTAAGTTACCGATTTGCCATGTGTAGGTCTTGTTTATGTGCATAATGTCAAGCAAAGTAGCTCGGATGTTGTGAAGGTGGGCAACCAGTTCTTGTAGTTCAACTATTATTAGTTGATGACTCTCATCTTTTTCACATTTGATGTATTACATTTGTCTACTATTAGAATGATTATTTGTATAGCATTAACTTTTGTGCAATGCATTGTATTATTTGTATATGGTATTTTATTTTCCATTATGAGACATGAAATGCAAATTTAATATAAAAATAAGTAAATCAATAAATATATTTGTTTTTAAAATTTAAAATTACGATACGCAAAAATGTGTGTCATCTTCATTTATGACATGGCCTATCTTGACGGGGGCTTTCTTGATACGCATTGCGTGTCATTAACACGCACGTCGTAAGGTTACAACACGCGAATGCGTGACGTCTTCCTTTATGACAGGGCCTTTCTTGATGCGCATTGCGTGTCGTAAATGCAAGTCATAAATGTGTGTCGTAAATGAGCATCGTAAATGCGCGTCGTCTATAGACGACGTACAAAAGCGCATCATCTCTCTTTATAACAGGGCCTTCCTTGATGCACATTTGCGCGTCGTCCGATCCTTTTACAACGCGCAATGAGCGTCGTAAAAGGCTGTTTTTCTAGTAGTGTTGTGAACCTAGCACCCCAAGTGTGATGCCTCAAATGCTTCACAAAACACCAAATGTTATAGAGTAAACTTGGAGAGAAAGTATAACACTCTAAAAATCGGCTCTAGCCCTCAAGTATGCATGCATAGCCGATTTTGGGAGAAACATGAACTTTATATAGTGTTGACACATCTAGGGTTACACCATGTAAACCCTAATGTGTCATGACTCTTCATTTCCATGACCCATGGGTTTGTAACTCCCATGGAGCCTCCATGGAGCATCTAATGGGTTTAACCCAACTTGATTATCCATGGAGCCTCTTAGCCTACTATACAAGATATGGATGATTTACATAATCAACCCATATGTTTAATAATCACAAGTGTTACTTCTCTCATTTAGTCTATCCAATTGCATGGTGCCATGCAACCCAAATGGACCATGCCGGGTCAGGTCAAGTACTTACCAGAAATAGTTATGGACTTAGACACCTTATCGAACAGTCTCCCACTTGGATAAGTCTAATAACTATAACTGTAATACTTCAGGAACCGATCAGCAATCGTAGCTCTTTTCAAGGTTTCTCGGAACTGAGAAGATGATGGTACGCCATTTTAGATAAGGGATCATATAATCCTCTGTTCTAGATATCAGCCGGACAAATACACGGAACATGGCCTTACTTATTGTCCAGTAGTTTGTTTCCCTTACTTATTGTCCAGTAGTTTGTAACAGCCCTTTATTTCAAGTCAGCAAAAATCGAGTCATGTAACCTCTTTGAGAAAGGAATTAGAATATCATCGAAAAATGAAGTGTTCAAAAACTCTATTTGGAGTACACTATGTGGTAGGTATCTTCTTAAGGTTTGCAAACATATAAATAACACAAAAATCCGAGTTATGACGAAGAAGTTATGATCATTCTAAGTTTTTTGACAAAAACCGACAATACGAAGTTGCGTAAAAACGCAAAGTTTCAATAAAACACTTTCTGACCTTAGGTGTCTAAATGAAATTCATAGATATCATTAAACTACAAACATGCATAAAAAGAACGCTCAAATGGGACATCGTATGAATAAGTTATGAATTTTTAAAGAAATTCCTTAATCACGTCATTTTAATAAATAAATAATAAAAATAATTCCGGAATTTGCCAACGGAATCTAAATGAAAGTTGTAGATCGTAGTCTCACCTTCGCGGGGATATAAAGAACGTCAAAAACGGAGTTCGTATGAAGGAGATATGAATTTTTGAAGTTTGATAAATAATTTATATATAATTTTTATTAAAAATTCGGTATTATCCGAAGGGGAGTCAGCCTAGAGCCATAGTACGCGCCGCGTACCCTCGTACGCCCCATGCACTCAAGGCCACGGCCTCGGATCATCCACGTCGCCCCTATGCGAGCTACCCCCTCCCCGTCCCGTCCGAAGCGCTACAGCCGAGGATGCGGTCAGCAGTGACGTCCCGTACGCGCCGCGTACGGGAGTACGCCCCGCGTACGCATGCTGCTCAGCCCCCTATAAAAGGGATGCGAGGGTTCCCGGGAAAAGGGCTCATTCTCTCTCCTTTTTCTTGCGTTTTACCTCGTTTTCCGTGCTCGCACTACCCCGAGGCCCTGGTCATTTTGTGCAAGTCCCGAAGGTCGATTTTACTCCCGAGGAATCCCGAGAATCCCGAGGAAAATCCATTTCCCGAGATGAAACTCTACCCGGTTTTCCATCTTGCTATCTTCAAGCTTTCAAGTGAGTTCATACCCCTTTCAAACACACTTTAAATACATTTTAAATGCTTTTATACTCTTTTAGGGGGGGGGGGGGAATACAAGTAAACATACGGTTATTATCGTGTATTTTATAAAGTTTCACTTCACTTGTTTTATCAAATAAATCACTTGGAACTCATTACTATTATGGAAAACTCTTTTCATACTTTGCGTGCATTAGACATTATACAAAGTATATAATGATTTCAAAGTACCTTTCATTGTTAAGTCGTTTTATACATTCTAAAAACTTATGATTTTGCTTTGTCAAACATTATGAAAATGGATAAACTTTGCATACAAAGCTATCACTTTAATACCAACTTAGTTGAGAATCCATGAGACGTGTATATCTTCAAACGTTACTTTTCTTTATTAGAAAGTAATGCTGCAAGTCTTGTCTATAACCAGAGTCTCCCGTTCGGAGAACGTGTCAAATGTGTCTAGATCTATACAGGAAGTCATGATCCCGCGCCCTGACAGTTAGCTACAGTCCGTCTTTTGGGGTGACAGTTGTCATAACGCTGCGACGCCTGAAGAACGTCGTTATAGGCATATTATGTTTAGTATGGTTATAAAACTCATCGGATATACAATTATTAAAGTATTATGCTTTTATGAACGAGTAACTGTTAAAACTATTCTTCATCTAACAAATGCGATCTTCGTATAGCTTTATTATATAAAACTATGCCACACCTTTTAAGCACGTCGTTTTCTTGCGATTTTCGGTCTTAGAGACTGCCAGTCATGTTAGGAAAATAAGGGTTTTTCCTGTATACAAACCAAACAAATAATAGGAACATAAGGGATTTTCCTGGTGCAATTATTTACAACTTATGACACGAACATTCATATGCATTTCATACTTTTATAAGAAAATAAGGGTTTTTATTGGAAGTCACAACAAATCATATCTCAACCATTAGGGAAAATATGGGATTTTCTGGATCTAATACATTCATTTTAAACACAACAAGTCATAACTCTTCACACTTGAAGTACTGAGTTTTCTGGAAAATATACACCCACTTTGGAATGGCATCCAATTTTTCTAAACTACTTATGAACTCACCAACTTAATTGTTGACACTTTTTCTTTGAATTAACTTGTATTCTCAGGGAACCGCTAAACAGGTTTGGGAATCAACTTTTGGGATTAACGCGTTGGCGTTAATTACTTCTTTTGAATGATGCTTATGTATTTATCTTTTGAACATGTAATGAATACAATTATGTAAACATCTTGGGAACTTTAATATATATGGTGGTGTGTACTTTCCTTTCAATGAACTGTTATGATACTGAATATGATGTCCTCCGCCCCCGAACGTTTCCGTCGTTCTGGTTTGGGGGTGTGACAGATATTACCGTCTCGCAATCACTCGAGATCAATTCCATGAAGTGATACCAGCGAGCGTGGGTTGAATCCAATACTCATAACTTATGAGCACTCATGAGTGTTGAGGCCATGTCCAACATCTTAGACCTCTACAACCAACTCATGAAAGTCTTACTTCATATCTACTTCCAATATATGACTGACTGTGGATAATTTGAATAATATGTAAAACAACATAAATATTCTGGAAGTCAAAACATGCAAAAGAAATAATAGTAAACGATTGACAAGGGATAGCAACACTTTACTCATAAATAAACACACCTTTTATTCATCATCAAATGTCAAATACATTTTACAAATTTCAAAATTATCTAACTACTAAGACTAATA